AATTAATCAATTTTTTGGTGGGGGCGACTTGGTCCGGATAATGTGTTACTTCCGTAGAAATTTTGAAATTGTGATTATTGAAAGATTAATGTATATGTTAAAGGGCTGCTACATGATGGTTGCAATCTGAATGATGATATATAACTTTGTCCTGGAAGTACGTCACTAGTTTTCCGACTACTGTGCAAAACGCATAAATACATTATGATAGAATGAAACTCATAATTAGACCAAAAAAGTGACAAATGCAAAGGCTTGATGAAACTGAGTAATCATGAAATTAGTCGTGTGCTCCCAATGGAAAATTTTTTCCGCTTGTTTCCAACCAGTTACGTGGAAAGTTGGAGTCACTCTGTCGATTTGGTCAATGCCTGTAGCTTTTATCGCGGTAACGTACTAGATTCTTTGCGAGTATCCAAACATAAGAACATTTATAATTCACTCCCATCGGTACAAATGATTGTATTTTTTGGTGCAATTTTTTTCGGACAAACATTTATTTCTTTTCTCAGAGTTATTCAGGGTTATCACTGGTTTAATAATTATAAGTCTGAAGTAAAGCCAAACACTCCCTAAAAATCTGACTTATGCACTCTTATTTTCTGTGTCCCTTTAAGGCGTATTGTATTCCTGGCAATGGTATCATTATTATATTGCATAATAGGACCGATTCACGCTGTGTCACTAATGAATCAGAAATTATAGTACAAAATTCAATTATATGCCAAAACAACTCCGGTCTCTTATCCCAGCTGCACTTTGTTCTGTTCATACATATATCCACCCATAAGAAACTGGTATTACGTTCAAAAAAATTTCGAAAGGTAACTTGGAAAATTTTATTACCTAAGCCGTTGAAATATGAACTCGAATGAGAAATATAAGGTATTTAAAAATTTCACAAAAGTGATTGAACTTTAGTCTACTTAACTTTGTCATCAGCAATGTTAACAAAGCAGGTAAATGGCTAATGTTAAGCCAGCATAACGATTAGCGCTACTAGCTGCACATTGGTTTCGAATTCTTTTCAGTGTAGTATTGATTGTTACCTTCAGCTTACAATAACCTGTGCAAAGTAATGGAGGTAAATAGCGTATTTCATTGAGATTCACCATGCTTCAGTTTTCATCTTCACTCAGTCTACCAGACACTCTATAGAAGCGTTGGCATTGTGTTTCGAACCCCGTTACAATTCATCATCAGCGTATTTTCGCCGCCTCGTTAGAAATTCCGTAATTCTAGTCATTCAGAGTTAGTTGATCGGCACACTAATAGCGTATGCCTTCCATGTGAGATATCCGGCTGTCGAATTCTGAATTTCATGGTGGATATGCGATACTCACAACTCAACAAAAAGCGAACTTCTACATTGGTGCTTTTCAAGTGTTCGGCTTAATGTATGAACTGAGGATTGCACATTATTCATGTTTATCGCTATACCTGCAATGAATTGGTACAATCGAGTGGGCATTCCTAGTTCACGTAGCGTAAACGGATAATTCCGGTAATAGTCCATTCACCGATCACACACACAACATGTAGTGGATATCCCAAGTGTTATCCATCCCGCTACAGCCAATCTTCAGCATATTCGGAAAAAAAGAATTTAAAAAGTGTTTCAAGCGGCTTCCGCCACCCACTGAGCCGTACAACACGACTGAATCAAGTCTCAGCTTGCAGATTATATACATTTGATCAACTGACAGTTTTATCACATAATTTGGTCATCTGTCCCTCGGATTTTCACTCAACAAGAATAACAAGAATTACGTGGAGAGTTTGGTAAAAGTCAACCACAGCTATAATATCATCCCTTTTAACGTAACCACGAAAAAGAACAAATTCTTTTCGACGCGATTGGAGAAATGTTTCGGAGAAGACAAGCAGCTACTCATTAGGTTAACTCACTTAGCAATCGGACGGTGCATATCGCGTTGGATATGACGTTATTTTGTGATAAACACCTCGATGCGGTAATTGCTTTGAAGAATAATGCACATTTCGGTCCGAGAAACCGAACGACAACTGGTGAGCAGCCGGAGGGATAGGCCTAGCGTTGTACTAGACAGCAACGAAACTGTGGCTCCTCCTTCTCATCATCATCATCATCACCATCACACTCCTAACTTTATAGAAAAGAGCTGTAACCTTTGTCGTGATGACCATATTTGAAGTAGAACTCAGAATCCAGGGGTCATTAGGTTTTTCATCGAATGGCCACCATTTGTTTGTGTATAAAACTTGTTTCTTTTATGTCAAACTGGTAATTTTTGTGTCTTTGAAATCTCACTCCTACCGATTTAAATGGCGTGTGGCTCGTAAGATGTTAGCTTTTGAGTGCCAGAACAGAATTATACATTTGTGTTGCCAAAGAGGTGAAACAAATGCCTGTTATTTATTCCAGTAAACTTCCGACGGAGGTTGGTATCAGTTTTTAGCCATGTGGCGATAACATTGTGTAATGTTCTTCCTGTAATCGTTTAATAAACCATCAACTAGAGCATATCTAAATTTATGATTGTGGATGTATTGGGGCTGACAAGTGATAAAATGCACAGAAGTGTCTGTCAGTATATGCCGAAAGAAATCACTAAATTTATTTGTAAATCACTTACATCTGAAGATTCCTATCGTGAAATTGACAGCAAAACACGAGAAGAGAAGAACCTTGTTCTCGACAAATTTTTCCCAAGGATGATACAGTTATTTATGCATGGAATAAATAGGTGTGCAACAAATAATACCAGACCAATGGTGCGTTGATTGGATAATATGTAGGTAGTTGGGAAAGATGTGAAACAAAAGGCTCTTTATTGTTGGTTTCAGAATGGGCAACCTATTAAAAAACGAAGGACAGAGAGGAGAGAAATGGAATGAGTGAGATTGCATACTTCCAAGTTAGGTCAAATGGTTGGGAAGGGTCATGTATGATTTAAAGTTCTGTGTCGGATCTGAGCCAGAGAAGCTGGAGAACTTTGACAAACCGTTATTACGAACAAATAGTTGGCCGCAGTGAATTTACTGCTACCACTTTGGCTGTATAAAGGTTTTCGAAAGGTTTAAAGGTGCCTTTTAGACGAGATGCTCCATGACCGCACTTGAAAAATAGTCTTCGTGGTTCTTGTATTTAAACAAGGTAACGTATGTTTATTGATTCTTTGAGGAAACTGCTCAAGTTTAATCACTGCACCGGACAAGAGACAAATGAATATGCCTTCAGAGACATCCCCAATTTACCTGGCTGGCACCAAAACCGGATCACCATCTGCTAAGATCTAGCTTTCCGTTATTGTCGGGGGACAACCGTGGTATCCATGACGCTGTCACAACCTATCGTAGAAGAGTGCCGCGTAAAATCATGCAGTAAAGTATACAGTCCCACAACACTAAACCTCGGAACGAACGTGGAATAGCGAACTCGTGTAAGCATTCAAGGCCATATGTGTTTCTCAGAGTGCATGTTCCCGACCACTCAACATGTTACCCATCTTTGAAAAAATCACGGAAATATTGCACAGCTACTTCATCGATATCAGGTACTATTATCAGTAGATTTGCTCCGAATCCACTAGGATTTAAACCCGGACACGAGTACTTGTTAGTCCGATAAGCCAACCAATGTTTTATTAGGGCTCAGGAATATATTTATGTGTAATGACCATACGTATAACACAAGCCAAAGAACTTTGTTCTAATACTTATCCGCAGTGTGCAAATCGATTTCAATTCGAAGTGGCGAGTGACACCATATCCGATTCACAATGTAATATAATACGAAAAGGAAACTTGAAACGCGTATTGGTTTCTTGTATCGACTGGCAATGAGGAGAGTAGCGATGCATGTGAACTGATCTTGATACCGATTCCGGTTTTGTTTATTTTATTTATGCTCATGCACCGACTTCCCCCCCCCTCCCAAAAAAAAACTAAATATTAGCAAAACTACCCATATCATTTCATTCCAATTCTGAAATACTTCCTTTGCGAAAGTAGTAGAGAATTTTGTTTGGTTGTATGAAGATTTTTGTCGTACATAGAGTAAAGACAACGTAAATTGAAAAGCTTTTGGACTACATCGAATCTCATCAACATTGTGACTCTATCCACCCAACTGAGGAATGCATCTTAGACCTCAAAAGTGGACCGCAAGCATACCGCTCACTGACCTACCATGCGATTGATGAGGTCGTTTTTCATTTTGCCTATACTCAATACAGCACAACCCATCTTTGCCAGCTTGTTGCACGTATAACTCCTCTTTCAGCCCAACGCCAGCCTCTGGGTTCATGGGCCAGTTAGAAACATACCAAACTTGACTACTTGTTACAAGGGAAAAGTGGACGATTTAATTTTATTGTATGATGCAGTGCCTCCGACATTTCCAGGCTACTTTTCTTTTTCTCTGTATGCCACGACATTGTGGATAGACAAAAATCGCAAGGTTTTGAATGAATCGCCCAGGCAAACACTGATCGAGAATTGTGTCATTATTCGTGAGGTATGCGTTTCGAATAATGATTAGGAAGGCATTCCAAATGAATTCAGGTGGCTTTAATGTAATATTGCCAAGTTGCAAGTTGAATGTTCCCACGAAGCGGATTAACCTTGCCATTGCTTTAGTTTTTTTGATCCGAATGTATAAACTTCAAAAATAATATTGATGTCAATCTGAGGTGTCATCCACATTGGGTGCAATTCGGTTACATAATAGTAGGAACCGGGAAGTGATGTTTAAGCCTAAGAAAGCAGTTTTTCGATTCTGTGAATGTGTAAACTAACTCGCAACTTGCTTTTATTCCAATGAAACCATACTGGTAATACAAAGACGGATAAGTATCGTGAAGTAAAGAATTATTCAACAGGAATAAAACCAGTTAATACACAGAAATATGTAAGTCACAGAGATTGGAAATGAATTACATTATGCAATAACATTCTTCCTTTGATACACTAGTCCTTTTTGTTCCACTCAATTGTCGGAAATTCTTCTCATTATCTGAATGCAGGAAAAGGAGGAGAAGTTGATGAAAGCAAGTCGTTTTCATCGCAATTCTCGAAGTCAATCTATTCCCATCCCGGTTCTATTGGGTCGTCGTGGATCGATAAGTTTGCCTGAGATTCTAGATGGAATGCCTTCGGGACAAATGAGTAATCGACTCAGTCTTGTTGCGGACGAATTGGAGGAAAGTTTCAAGGTAAGTAAATATGTGCACGGTGAAACGCTTATCGTTTCATGCGCAACCTCTATCTGTAACCGTTCTACGTATATGATATTGAAACGACTCAATCCTCCTTCTGAACATTTTGTTTGGAAATAACCGTTTTCCCAGTGGGTGCTTGGAAAATCGGGTGTTATGCATTCAAAGTATTTCAATGATGCATTGAACAAATAAACCAAAGCGATCTCAAAATCACTCAGTAGGGAGAATCAATATTCTAAAGTTGTTATAGGCTATTAACGAAGTAAGGATATCCCACTTCCGGAATTGATCTCCTCAAATAATACTTTTTAATTAGGGCAATCAATAAATAATTGGAGTTTTAAAAACGCGAAAACATAAAATGATAAACAATGAGGAAATTGTATTTAATTACGTATTTTAATTTTATTCGATTACTTCTAGTCTATTATCTGGTCGGTTCTTATTTTCCCTGGCCGAGTTTCTGGTCTTTGTAAACAAAAAATGCAAGACCGGATGAAGTTTCGCAGTCTTATTTAATTCGAGAGCTTAAATATTCAAGATTTTCCCACGATCGAACTAAATGGCAGTTTACCGTTCCAATGTGAGGACTAAATGATATGATAACCTTATCCAATTGAAAGCCAGGTAACTTCCAACAGGTGGGCTGAGATCTGTATATGGTCGATAAGTAGTTGGGGTGGAATACAGTCCCAAGACAACGTACTCGTAACTTCGGCCATTTTTCTTCATTGCTTCCGCAAGTTCCGTTTGTTATTGACAGTATATATGGAAAGTGCATATTGTTTTACTTAGAGGTGGCTAAAAATACACCACAATTATGTAATCCCACTGACTGAATGCATTCGTAATCCCCTTTACGTGGATATAATATTGGGATGTCAGTTGAACAGGTTCATCACACTTCGTCCATGATCGTTTGCGAATAAAATTTTTGAAGGCAATAAAGCTTTAATTCCAAAATGTTATTTTATTAGAACGCAAGCAATTTTCATCGCTCTTCAAATGTGTTTCATAGATTTCGACGCTTCAAGTCAAATTAATTTTATCTCTTCCCCTTGATCACGTTTATCAGACTTTTCTACTAATCCATGGCGATGATCTGCTGCGATCGATACTTGACCCTTCTCAGCATCCTTTTTTAAGTCAGGTCCCAGTCAGCTTTGATTACTGGGGGACTTGTACTGGTCGTTACCATCAGTGTCAACTGACTGATTGACCTGAACTTTACACATCTACGAGTAAAGCAATCACCAGAATGAAATTCTACTAATGTATTCGCTCACATATGCTCTATGGTAAAGCATCAACACTAGCAGCTTCATATACGTTATTGAAATTATCAACGGACTTCTTGGCAAGTATGAAGTTACACAGCGAAATATTCCAAAGATGTTCCTTTTTTAGGATTATGCCGAATGGGAAATGTGAAAAAATGGTAGTTGCTATTTAATGCAATCACTGAAGGTTTTTTGTTTACAAATACGTTGTTTCTTTCGTGTAAAATCAAATGGCGTATTTCGGATAAGTCCATTTCGTTCATATGCTCCACTTATTTGTCGAACTAAACTTTATTACTGTCAAAGAATTAGTATAGGAACTCTGCACAAATAAACAGCAGATAGCACACAACGTAACTCACATGGCACAAATTGAAAAATCAGTGCAATTTGTGTGCAGCACGACAAGTTGTCTGTTCCTATCACGTGAGAGCAAAAATGGTTCCAGCCTTGGGTTACCCTCACCTCGTGATCGGATTTGGATCCCAGTGGAGACAAGATGCATGCACTACTGCTAACTGGAATAAAAATTCTGTGCTATCAAGATCCTGGTTACGTGTCCTAACCAGTGAAGCCTATTGACCTGAGCTCGCTGGGAAAACGAATTCGATGGAGTATTCACCCTCCCATTGAGTTGAGATTAGTCAGGACACGTATTGCGTTATCGTCTATCTCAGCTTGCCTTATTCGCAATTGCTGCTCCAGGTGGGAAGAAACCAAGTGGAAGTCAACAGATGACATGAAAACCAGGCCTTAAGAAATGCACAGAGTGAGTAGGAAGAATAGGTGTCTCTCAAATTCCAGGTTGGGGTCCGAAAGACTTGGCAACTGTTTGGTTGGAGACATTAAATGATATGGCAGCGAATCGACATCAGTGGCGTTCTTTTTTGTTATCAGGCCCGAATGCTTGAAGGGGTATGTATGCACAGTTAGGGTTTTCACCTTTTTACCATAGAGGTTTAGTTTCTTTTCCAATCAGGCCCCATCCCTCCCCATATTGTACTTTATCACTTGATGTGTGTACTTTTCGAGCTTGGTAGCGATCAAAGAATTTTGATTCACTATATTTTGCTGTACAGTGCTGGTGTTGCTGGTGCTGGTACTGCTCATGATGATGAGGATGACCTTTCAGTAGTGACGTTGCATGATAAGTATACTGTAGAAAAAATAATTTCCAAACCCGTCTCAAATGACCAATGGGTAATGTTTTATGTCGAAAAAGTGAACCAAAAACAGCAAGTATTCCGTTACGAACGACAAGTATGATTGTGCACCTGAAATCGAGGATAGAATATGTAATATCAATTGAGAAGCTTTATGTTCCGTCTTTTCTACTCTAAGAAATATAGATTCAAGATTGCCCGAGGGCTTTAGCGATTATTTTGGTTGGGTCACCTCTTGCAGAAACAGAGCTTGCCCAGGTGAACAAAAACAAAACTCGTGATTGAGAGTCAAACCGTAGGTAAATGATTCAGGATAACCAATTTTATATAGCCGAAGTAAGTGTGGAGATAGCTTTCCGCAAGTGGCAAACAGCGATCTTCTGTGAGCGGTGGCTGATGATGAAATGGATGGTATCAGTGCAATTGCAAGTATTATTAAAAAGCGTTGCTCGACCATTGGGGTGTCTATTTAGATTCACATGGCTACCGCAAAGCACGATCTGCCAGTGACTGGCTTCTCAAAAATTACAAGAACGTAGTTGGTAGTTAGGAGTCGCAATTTGGCGAATCGTGAAGACAAGCACTACCATTAGGTGTCACAAGTGACTAAAATCGAGACAACCAAACAATACAGTACTAAAGCGAAAGTTTATCACACGTGTAATTCTGGTTGACACGAGTGGCGACAATATCCACGGCTGAGCGGATATTCGTGTTCAGTAAAACACAAGCATAAGGGTAAAAGGAAAAGTGGTATCGCAGTGAATGTCACAGTTAATGGTGAAGTACACATGAACAAAAAAGTGATCATTTATTGCTCCTTTTCTGTGAACAATCATTGCCACTGAAAATTCAGCAGATTGAATGCAGACTGAGTAGTCATTCTAAGCGACACTAATGTTTATTCGCCTTCTGATTTTTTAACTTGTGAAGCAGAACCCAATCTGGAGATATAGTTAAAAATTGTTTTGATACTATTGGTGTGCGGATGTCGTTATATTTATCTGTGTCTCAGAAGCCTAAAGCGGTAAAACAGTATAGAAAACATCTCGGTTGGTAGTTTATTTTGTTATTGAGTGGAGGCATCAGTTTCCATACATTCACAGTCACTTTGTGATTACAGCTTTTTTATTACATATCCCTGTGTGATGAACAGCAGACAGGAAATGTTCCATAGTCACAAGGACTTGTTGTTCAGTGATGGAAACCGGTAACCTCAGCCTCGGGACTTGGAGTAGAGAACCACATTAGGCCCCTCTAGGCTAGGCGTTTTATTGAACCGGGTGACAGCAAAGCTGTATATCAATAAAGTTGGGTGGCGTTTGGGAGGGGGTTCAAACCTCGGATCATAGGGTCCAAAGCACGTTAAAGGGAGCGACTAAACCACTGTGCCACCACCATCCTTATAACCAACCCTGGAATANATTAAACCATTTCTTAAAGTACCAGAACGTAAGTTCATTCAAGGTAAGTGAAAGCTATGCCGTCGGCGATCACCAGTATGATTAGTTTCTGATCACCTAATTTATTGCATCACTTGTGTTATCTCTTCTGATATCACAGCAACTCCGGGACACAAACACAAGCAACACCCAGCGGTTTTCCCTGTTAAATCTTCTGTCCAGCCGTCGCGGATCAACTAGAGACGAATAACTGATGCAGAACGGAAATTTCATTCAGGGATGGACACGTTGCCTGAATGTCGAATGTGAACTGAAGCGCCGCTGTGGTCAACTTGTTCAGTTTATTCATTGTTCGTCTACTTGAAAAAGAACTCAGGACAAATACATGCACATACATTTGTTTGTCCCGTCTGTCTGTCTTATTGGAAAACAACTTTTTTTGTTTTCTTTCTGCAGATTACCGCGTCACATCTATTGGTTTTGTTCCTTTATCCGCCATGCAGCCCTTTACTTTTGACCTGTTCAACCACTGTAGCGTTGCTTGGCAAATAGTACACTCCTACAAAATCCGTTATGCTTTTTGCTTTGCTGTGCCTCCCCCTCCCCACCCCTGTTGCTCCACTCCACCCCTAGCGAGGAAACACTTCATCTTTAGCAAGCTCGTGTCAGAGATATTGCCATAAGACAAATTCGAGAAATAAAAATAAGAAGGAATTTGGAAAACCACTCACAAGCAGCTATGAGCAAAAATTGTTCTCAGGATTCAGTTGAAGAAAAAACTAAGAATGTAGTGCAAATCCATCAACCTGTTCTGCGTGTAAGACCCCGGGTAACGAGGTGAAACTGATTATCTATAGAAATACACCTTTCTGCAAGGAACAATCGAGCCTGATGGGCAAATGCACTAATAAACAAAAGAACCAGGAGTTGAATTCCTCATTGAAAATTGTCGACCCTAGTCTATCCCTTAGGGTCGACAATTTT